TCTCTCTCTCTCTCTCTCTCTCTCTCTCTCTCTCTCTCTCTCTCTCTCTCTCTCTCTCTCTCTCTCTCTCTCTCTCTCTCTCAAATGTAGCCTGTTCAGAGGACCGGCTTCTTGCTGATGGAGTGGAGCATGGCCTACTCCTGACAGTGCTGCTGAGTTCGGGGTTGCAAATGCAGCAGAGATTTCACAGAATCTTGTCGGGGTTCGCAGGGTGAACTTATAATTATAAGGTTGGAGTACCTTTGATTACAGGCGCTCGTTATGTTTTTTTTTTTTTTTTTTTTTTTTCCACAAACAAGGCTCTAGTCTCCCTAGTTTCCACATGGAGAAGTAGTGTGCTTCCCTAGAGGATCCAGAACCTGGTCATTTTAGTGGTACAAGTACTTGTTTGCTTGGTATTTGGCAACTGGGCAATTCACCCCGTAGGACCAGACTATTGGTCCTCCTCCGTCAGACAGGTACCACTGACGTGGCACCCTGGTGTATGGGCCTGCGCTCGGGTGTGTGAACACAGCCTCATTCGTTTGTCGCATTCCATATTATCTGTTCCATACAGTTCAGTCCTACTAGAAATGCTGCTACTTCTCTATGCCCATGGTGGCTTCAGAATTCACCCATGCTGAAAGACCTGTGGATAGAGCCCTCCTTGCCTGGATGGTTTTCCAGGATGGACTCTGATTGGGGCCTTCTGTGCCAGGATGGTTTTCCAAGATGAATTCTTTTGGGCCTCTCAGGATGGTTTTCCGAGATGGGTTCTTTGTAGAATGTAGTTCAGAGTCTCTATAGCAAATGGAGTTGTCGGTCTATTCAGAGCCTCTCGGTCTCTTTATTTTGATCGTATGTTCTGGTTGCGCACACGCGTCATGTTCGACTCGTGGGTCCACTGTTCTTTGGGTGGATGTGGGGTATGTCTTGTTTGACTGGGAAGTTGAAGAGCTGGGCGAGACCGGAGAGAGGTGGGGACGGTCTCGCTTGTACAACCACTCAGCTTGACCTCCTTGCAGTAGCCACGCCCCTTAGCTTCTGCCCTGCAATCTGGCAGCTTGCTTGTGCTGAGCACATGGTTGTTAGTATGTCCATAGCTGTTGGGGTTCCATTCGTCGCCCCTTGCCTGTTTTTTATGTTTTGTTTTTTTCAAGTCGTGATTGCTTTCTGATACAAGCTTGTTCTCTAGTGTCTGCACCAAGACCGTTCGTTGGGCGCATATCTGATGCAATGGGCCACTGCTGGCTTTTGTGTGTGTGTGTGTGTGTAGGTTCCGAGTGGATTGTCCGTCATCTGTCTTGCTGGAAGAGGACGCATGCCCTTTGGGAGTGATTCTGGGGTCTACCTGAGGGAGGAAACGTCTGGAGGTGGGCAGTGATGGCGTTCCTTGCAAGGCGAGTTGCGCGCCATGTCCGGTCTTCCACTGTTTCAAATTTCCGTCCCCATGTTCTGAGCAGCAACCATCTTGTTGGCTTACTGCCAGAATCTGATCAGCTTCTGCAATGTTCCGCTGTCTCTCCACACCCTGCACCTTGCCCGCAGTCGATGCTATCAACCCCATTGAATGGTGAAGCCTCCTTGTCCTCCCGGGCACCTGAAGGGACAAGGCTCTTCTTGTCATCCCTGGCAGGTAAACCCAGGCTGATGACAATGGTAGGTGGAGAAGCATGGGGCATCAACACGGATGCATGGGCGTGCAGGTGTCACTCGTCATTGGTCGGGGCAATAAAAATGCCGTCCTCATCTTTTTATGCGTCTTTAGGAGGAAAACGTCACGTTGCGAGCTGCAGCAGTCACCGAGTGTCAGGAAGCAAGCTCAGTGCCATGGGGGATGTAGCGGTCGGTTTGTCGGGAAAGCGAGAGGCCTCTTCGGTGGCGGGTGCACTTGATTCGGCTACGAAAGAGCAACGGCCGAGGATAATCCCCCCCGGGGGTTTCCTCCCGCTCAACAGATTGGCAGATGGACCAGGTGCATCGAAAGATGGCAAGCGACTTGGAAGAGGCATTGGGTCTGGGAAGGGGAAAACGGCTGGCCGAGGTCACAAAGGACAAAAGGCTCGGAGCCGGAACCCTCGGATTGGGTTTGAAGGAGGCCAGACGCCTCTTCGTTTGAGACTCCCAAAGAGGGGTTTCCACAACCCTTTTGCAATGACTTTCCAGCCTGTGAATCTCTGGACCATAGTTGAAAAGGTTAAGCAGGGGAAGATTGATCCATCACAGACTGTGACCATGAAGACTCTAAAAGATGCGAGAGTGATAGGGAAGAAGATTAATGATGGGGTCAAACTCCTTGGTAGGGGTGCCCATGAGTTTGACATCCCTCTCAACATTGAGGTGAGCAGAGTTTCGGCAACTGCCAAGGAGGCAGTGGAAAAGGCGGGTGGCAGAGTGACACGGGTGCACTACAACAAGTTAGGTCTGAGGGCCCTACTCAAACCACAGTGGTTTGCGAAGAAAGGCCGGTTGCTGCCAAGACCGGCCCGCCCACCTCCCAGACTGTTGGGTCAGGTGGACAAGATTGGCGATCTCCCACCGCCACACTCTGTCCTCGATTACATGCAACCTGGTGATAAGCCAACAATTGACAGTGTTGCTGCGCTGGTCACGAGGCTGGCCAGAGATCATCAGACAGAGGAGGGAAGGGTAGGCGTGCCCAAAGAGTCTGAACAGCTTCAAGGGCCTCAATGAGCGTTAGGTTCAGGACATTTCCATCTTTTCCTTTTCTTTTCTTTTTTCTTTTTTTGCTTCGAAGAAGTCTTCTTTAAACTGAAGGATTAGCACGCTATCTGTAGGCACGGGTGCGGTTGACGTCTCCTTTTTTTCCTCCCCGTCTTGTATCCTTTCGGTTGTTCTTGCAATTCATTCCATTTGAGCGGCGTAAAGAGCTGAAGAATTTGTTTCTCAATTCTGTCCTGGAAATGCAAACAGACTTGGTTTGCATTGCTGTGTTGTGCCAGGTCTCCTAACGACGTCCACCTCACTTTGTCGCCCTCCATTTTTCTGCAGTCTTATGCCCATTCTGTTGGATCTACAATTGTATTCTCTCTTACCCCTACTCCCTCCCTCAAGTCTCTTCCCTTGGGCATTGTCTATCTGCTCTCCCCTTGGCACCCTTTATTTTCTTTGCGTCTCATCTGCCTGCGTTGCCAGCGCCTTGCATCTGGTGTTTGGCAAAGTTGGCTCAAATGACTCCTCCCTGAGGATGCCCTTTTTTAGCCCAAACTTGTGTGATCAATTGTTTCTTTGTCTTCCCGTAAACCCTGTTCGCCACAAAGAGCCTATAAACTACTGCAGCTATGCTGGCGTAGTGTGTGTGTGTGTGTGTGTGTGTGTGTGTGTGTGTGTGTGTGTGTGTGTGTGTGTGTGTGTGTGTGTGTGTGATCAGAGGTCTAAAGTAGACTGAGAAGTAGGGTTGGTCGTTGCACAGAATGTGCCCCCCAGGCAATGGTACTGCCTCTTTGCTGCAGCCATGGGTATTGGCTCCTGCTTGCAGCCGTGGGGCACTGCCTCCTTGTTGCTCATTGGGGCTGTTGGATGAGGGTGCAACTGACCGGGAATCCGGTGCATTTCAGGAGATGGTGAAGTACACAGATGCACATCAATGAAGCTGGGTGGCCAGATGATGAGCCTAGATGTTAGCGGTGCTCTATCTGCTCATGAAAGTTATTTTAGGGAACTAATTTCCAAAAGCTGTCAAGGTCCGAGTTTCATGGAGGAGGAAACTGAAAACAAGCCTTAATAAATTGGCGCGGCAAAGGCCTCACATTAGTTAGCAGCTGGGTTGCAGCTGCTGAAGAACAAGTTGCGCAAATCGCTATGATGTTTGCTTGGAGGAGCTGTCTGGTTGATTGGAGCTGCGACCCTTACTTTTGCAACAGTATTGTTGCATAGGAAATTAGGAAGTGCGCAATCAAATCAATCATGTAGCTATTGTTCATATTTTTCGTTGACTATGTATATCCATTCCTCCTGTGTTAACATAAACGTTTTTAAGTTTTTTTTTGGGCGGAACTACCCGGGAGCTGCAAAAACGAGTTCTAATTGCAGTATGGGCCAAGATACAGTTTGAAACTGCAGTTCGAGCAATGTATAAAACCCAACTTTCTGGCCAGGTAGGGTGCCCGAAGTCCAATTGCAAACTGTATGTTGGCCCATAGTGCAATTATAACTTGTTTTTGTGACTCCCGTGTAGTTACCCAGTTGCTTTTCTGTTTCTACCACTGCAACCATGGTTTCCCCTCAACTTATGTTCTTCCTCCCCCCCCCCCCCCCCCCTTTATCATCTTTCTTTCTTTCTTTCTTTTCTTCTTCTTCTTCTTTCTTTTTTTTTTTCATCGTCACTTTTACGTTCATCCTTCTCTCCTTAGCAGACAGGTGTGGGGGGCACTAGGCTCTGTACGGTCTGCATGTGGTAGGTCCGTTGTGCCCCCTGCAGTCGCTAGGTAATGTGGGATTCCAAGGCGTCTGACTTGTAGTCTTCGGCAGTGAATGACTGTGGAATCATTTCATGAGATCGTTATCGCTTTTGCAATAGGATCTAGGCTACAAGCCGGGCCGCCTGGGTCACCTTGTTTTCCCGGGCGGCCCGGCCATGCAAGGACCAGAGAAGGTCCCAGCAAAAAAAAAACAACAAAAAAAAACTAGGCTACCAGCCGGGCCGCCCGGGTCCCGGCTGGCCTGCCCGTGGGAGGACCAGGGAAGGTCCCARMAAAAAAAAAAAAAAAAAAAAAAAAAAAAACTGAACAAGTTTTGCCTCAGGATCACATCCAAATTCTTTACCAAATTAAAAATAAAAAATAAAAGTTAGTGTTTTTATTTTTACTCTTAGTTTTTTAATTCTTTTTTGGCCCGGCCGGGCAAGTGATCCCGGGCCACTCTGGTAGCCTAGAAAAAAACCTGAAAAAACTTTATGTTATGCAAAGAAATAAACTGAACAACTTTTGCCTCAGGGTCACATCCAAATTCTTTACCAAATTGAAAATAAAAAATAGTTTATTTATTTATTTCAAGTTTTTTTCGCCCGACTGGACAAGTGGTTCGGGGCCACTCTGGTAGCCGAGAACAGGATGCTATATTGTCTGCCGGAGGATTTTCTCTTCAGGTTTCGCGAATCAGGACTTAGATAAGGTTGTCACTCTACTGATGGCAGGATGTAGTGACTACGTCACCCATCAGCCATCTGAATCAACCCCGGTTAAATGTGAGCAGAGTGATATCCTATGCAGCTTCATGTACATACTACATGCTGCATCATCTGTTTGCGAAGTTGCACTCTCCTGCTATGGGAACTGATGTGCTGCCGCACACTTCATGTCCTGAGCTTGCACAGGCTGGATGCACCAGGCCTGAAGAAGCTATCATGATAGCCGAAACTCGCGAGGAGTTCGACAACTTGCTTGGGCTTCTAAACACTCTGAAAATTCAAAAGCCACGGCATCACTGTGGATTTCACTGGGTCTTCTGAAGTGATTGGTCTTCTCTTCTCCCAGAGCAAGGATTTAGGGCGTCGTTAGACACTCCTCGGGGCCGTGAAATCCACAAGGACGCGCTCATTCCACTTGTGAGGATGAAATTGAAAAAGAAATGTGAAAAGGCCACAAGGAAAATTCCTTGTGGCGTCCTTGTGGCCCCAGCCAAAATTTCCTTATCCCCAAGGGACCTTGCGAGGTCCCTTGGAGCTCAAGAAACCGCAATTAATGGAGTGGCGATGATATGCGTTGACGAAGAGTTTTGGTTCTTGGGTGGTCCAGATGTGGTCCAATGGCGTTAGTATGGACATCCCCGCCCTCCAAAGTCTTCGTAGTCCCCCAACGGCCTCCAACGGTTACTGTTGGCGGTGGGCCGCCATCGGGTGGCGTCGTCGTTTTCGACTGGCGTCATGCGGTCTCCCATGCTCGAGGAATGCCCGCAACGGACGTGACCAGTCACGTCATATCGGGCTCGAAGGCGTCAGTCACGCCGTGCGCGGGCGCCGTCAAAGGGGGAGGGGTGGTTCGGGTCCAGGGTGCCCGAAGAGGATGGGGAAGTAGGGGGGGGGTTGAAGAACCCTAAACCCTACAAAAACCCTAAGAAAACCCTAACCGAAGTTTAAGTGGTTAGGGTAGGGTACCAGTGACCTAATCAAGAAAGTAAAATAGCAAGCATAGGGGGGGGAGAAGGCGGGAAAAAAAATAAATAAACAGCGAGATTTCGAGAGAAAATAAGAATAAATAAGGAAATAAATAAATAAGAAAAATAAGTAAAAAAATAAGTAAAATGATGTGAAGGGAGAACAATATTTATTTTTTTTAAATTTTCGGCAGCATTTCCCTACCCCCCACGGGGTCAAGAATGTGTCAAGGGGAAAGGAGATATCAAGGTGAGCACACTAGGTGTCAAGATGCCGCAAATAAAAAAGAAATTTCAGAAAATAAATAAGGAAATAAATAAATAAATAACGAAGTAAATAAGTGGAGGAGGAGGCGGGGAGGAATAAAGTATCTAATTTGTCAAAAAAATTGGCAGCATTTCGCTACCCATGGGGTCGAAGTGTGCCGAAAAAGACTAAGGGAAAATCAGAAATTTTTGGCAGCACTTCGTTACCCCACGGGGTCAAAACGTGTGTCGAAAGCAAGAAAGACTAATACCTAATCAGATTTAGGGTTGCCGTAAAGAAAATCGAATTTTCAAAATAAATAGAAAAATAAATAAAATAAATCAAAAAATGAGAAAAGAAGGTGGGAAAGAAGATATTTTGAATTTTTGGAAAAAAGAGAAAATACAAATCAAAAGGGAGGTAGAAAATAAGAAAAAACAGAAAAAAAATTCGAAGTAGGGGGGAAGGGGAATGAAAAAGTGAAGGAGAAAAAAAGGAAATAGGTGGGAGAGAGAAAAAGATGAAGTGGGAGGTGGGGGGATGATGTGGTGGTAGTTGGGGGAGAGGAGGGTTGGAGAAAGGTGGAGAGGGATCAAGAAGCAAGGAGAAAAGGAGGAAAGAAAAGAAGAGATGAAGTAAATAGAATAAAAGAATGGGTGGTGGGAGAAAAGGTGGGGTGGGGGGAGGGGTATGAGTAAGAGGAGAGAGAGAGAGAGAGAGGTATGGAGAGTGGGTTAGTAGAGGAAGGGGAGAGAGAAAAAAGATACCTGGCCCTTGGTGTCTCCAAGGGCACAAGGTACACCAAGACCAGGAGGGTCTTGGCCTTTGCCTGCAGCAGCCAGCTGGAGGAGAGAGAGGGGGCTGAGATCTTGATCAACCCCTACTGTAAATCTGCAGATCTAGGGTATGTTGTGTGAGCATACCCTCACCGGTGTAGAGCAGCCCCTGAAATACAGGGGGTCTTCAAGTGCATAGCAAAGTGCCACGTGGCACTGCAGGTGGCCACGTGCACAGGTAGCAGCAGCCACGGGGGGGGGGGGTAAAAAGCAGCCTCTCCTGTTGCTGTCTTGCTGGCCGCTGCTCGCTGCTTGCTGCTCGCCACCCGGGGGGGGGGTAAATAGCCAGCACGGCACCTCTTCAACACAAGCGTGCCGTGCTACAAGGCCATAGACACTCTGTGGCGAGTGTGTTATGGCAGTGGTATATGCATGCGCATGGCCGGCAGCTGCCTGGGTTCAAACCCCAGCAGCAGCATGCCTCCCGGATCTTGATAATATAATCCGGGGGC